ATGTTTGTAAACAGTTCAACTTTGTTCTTGGATCCCAGGAAGGCCATCATTTTTTTGTCAATGGAAAAATATCATGTATAGTGTGTGGAGAAAACATGATAAGAGTAAATCTATTCTCAATTGGCAGATTATGAATATAGCCCCTTTTCAGTATAGCAGTATGAAAATGCTTCGAATCTACAATTTATGGCTCTACATCGAATAAGTATTGTGATATTTCAGTCCAAACCAACTGGAGCAAGTGCCACGTTCTCATAGTAGAAATAAGGAGACCCAATAGCATCTTCTGGAAGTGTTCTTTGAGTTATCTGATCTGGTTTGGTATGAACCCTAAAACCAATCATTAGATTTGAAAGATGAATTTGCTCATAGTAGAAATAAGGAGACCCAATAGCATCTTCTGGAAGTGTTCTTTGAGTTATCTGATCTGGTTCGGTAGGAGCCCCAGAACCAATCATTGGAATTGAAAGATGAACTACATGATCGTCTTCATTAAGAAGCTTCTTTTCAAGCTTCCTCTGCTTCTTCCTTTTCAAAAATCATAGCCCAAGTTTCGCCTTTGCTTGTAATTGGGATCATTGCATAATGACTTCCTATATTCTACCATAAGAAGTGCGTCAGTAGCCTTAGCCAGTTGATCAACACATATAAAATCTGTCAATTCTGCAATTGATGAATCTGGACCACATCTCTCCATGGTTATTGAAGTCTCAGCCTCTGAGAATCCCATTTTTTTTCAAGTATAACAGTTTATTCTCCTCATCAGAATCAGAGTTCAGGATTTCCTCGATATTAGAAGAACTATCAATATCTGTGAAATCATCCTGAAAGATCACTTCATAATCAGATGAGTTGTTATCAGAATCAACATGTTGCATGGGTGTGGATTTTTCAAGAGCATGTACCACTGTATATGTAGTCTTGCTATTGCATCAGATTACTGTTTGCATAAATTGGGTTCTCTCCCACAGAAAAGTATATTTCATAGACTTTCATGAAACATTTCTTCTGAGACTTTCATGAAGCAAAGAAGACACGAAGATACAAATATGCAGATTGATCAGATAATTCTTCAGAAATGAAAGATTGATAGCATAAGTTGCTACACTCCAGAGGTAACCCTGAAAATAAATGATGAGGTGAAGGAAGACCGAGTTCACCACTTTAAAAGTCAAATGAAGATTCCATGAACATTTATCCATTCATAAGAACATCATTTGCACAATAGAGAATGCATTACATTGATACATTTGATTGCATTCAAACATAAGGTTTTTTCAGATTTTCGTATGAAAAAGAAGATTCATGATGGAAAATACCTTACAAGAAGAAGATAGAATTCAAAATCTCAAATGCAGGAATCATGCAAACATCTGAAAGAGAGATGGACGCAATCCACAAGAATGAGCATTATCTTGAGATTGGGGCATGTTACCCAATCAACATGTTATTTTGAAAAATAATGAGAAAACGATTTTCATAGTTTCTTACTTAGTAAACTATTTCTCACATCTGTAAGTCCTACAGTGCATGATGTTTCCAAAAAGCCTTCGGGAGCTTTTTGATGTTTTCAAAACCTTCGGGTCAGCTGTAAGCCCTACAGTGCAGAATGTTTTTTTTTTCTTAAAACATTTCCAGAAGGGTTCATAATGAGAAGAACTCATATGAAGAAGGAAGAAGAAATTCATAATGAGAAGAGCTTGCTCAACCTTTTGCTCAAATCCATCACTCGATGGATCAGCTTTTCCAGAGAAAGTTCATAATGAGAAGAACTCATCTGAAGAAGGAAGAAGAAGTTCATAATGAGAAGAATTTATTCAACCTTTTGTTTGAATTCATCATTTAATGGATCAACATTGCCGGGTAGAGTTCATAATGAGAAGAACTCTTCTGAAGAAGGAAGAAGAAGTTCATAATGAGAAGAGCTTGTTCAACCTTTTGCTCAAATCCATCACTCGATGGATCAGTTTTTCCAGAGAAAGTTCATAATGAGAAGAACTCATCTGAAGAAGGAAGAAGAAGTTCATAATGAGAAGAGTTTGTTCAACCTTTTGCTCAAATCCATCACTTGATGGATCAGCTTTTCCAGAGAAAGTTCATAATGAGAAGAACTCATCTGAAGAAGGAAGAAGAAGTTCATAATGAGAAGAGCTTGTTCAACCTTTTGCTCAAATCCATCACTCGATGGATCAACTTTTCCAAAGATAGTTCATAATGAGAAGAACTCATCTGAAGAAGGAAGAAGAAGTTCATAATGAGAAGAATTTGTTCAACTTTTTGTTTGAATTCATCATTTGATGGATCAACATTGCCATGTAGAGTTCATAATGAGAAGAACTCGTCTAAAGAAGGAAGAAAAAATTCATAATGAGAAGAATTTGTTCAACTTTTAGTTTGAATTCATCACTCGATGGATCAACTTTTCCAGAGAAAGTTCATAATGAGAAGAACTCATCTGAAGAATGAAGAAGAAGTTCATAATAAAAAGAGCTTGTTCGACCTTTTGCATGACTCTATCACAGAAGGAGATATATCATCATCAGCATTTCCAGAAGGAGTTCATAATGAGAAGAACTCATCTGAAGAAGAAGAAGTTCACAATGAGAAGAGCTTGTTCAACCTTTGCTAGATTACTTCACAGATTGAGATAAATTGTCATCCCCAGTGAAAAAGTTCATAATTAGAAGAACTAATCCCAAAGAAGAAATTATTCAACATTGCCATCATAATCAAGTGAAGTCAAATGGATAAAAAAATTATTATCTTTTCGTCTTTGCTCTATTCTTGTTAACACAATAATGAGCAAAGAGGGGCAACTGAAGATACTAATTTTTTACCCATTTTTTTTATTATTGATATTATTATTATTATTTTATTTATTATTATTATTATTAAAATTATTATTACAAACAGGCCAAAATCGGGGCCCAATTACAAATCTGGAAGCCCAACCAGATGGCCTAACTAAAACCCTAAACTAATTTGGGGTTTCAACTAGGGTTTCTAAACCCTAGCACCCTAGCCAACTTCAAGATTCCAGAAGGCCAGCCGTCGCCTCTGCCAGGTGGTCCAACGTCCAGCTGCCGACACTCTAGTGCCACGCCACCTCGCCGCCAAAGCCTCTAGAAGCTCTGCTGCCACGACTCTGATCGTCCACGTTGTTGCCTATGGTGAGTCACCACCATAGTTATGGTGACTCACCGAAAGCTTCCTAAGGGACCGGTCCGACGAAAGCCTCGGTGATGGCTTTAGCCACCACACCTGCAAAATAAAAAAAATAGAGAGGAAGAACCGGAGATAACAGAAACGAGAGCAAGAACCCGAACAGACCACAACAGCAAGCCAAACAAAACCCATAGCAACAAATCAAAAAGCAAAGAGAGAATAGAGGGAGAAAACTTACCACCGAGGAAGCTACGCCGTCGTCAGAACCTCCACACACCGCAAAAGAAATTGAAATACCGAGAGTATTTCTGTAGATCTAGGTAACTACAAGGCTTTTTAGAGAAAAAGGACATCGAATTCGTCTTTAGGACGTTCTGATCTTTATTTTGGGAATTTTGAAATTTTCCGACCACCGGCAGCGGTGGCCGGCGGTGGTTGTCAACGCCGGAGCACGGCTGCCGGCCGGTGGTCTCTCTCTCAGTTTTAGAGAGAGGCAAGAGAGTTAAAAATTCTCTCTCAGTTAGAGAGAGGCGAGAGAAAGAAGAAATGAGGATGCTGGCCCGAAGGACCAGCTATTTAGGGTATTTAAATACCATCTCCCAAACGACGCCATTTTGGGGGAGGGTGTTTATGTAATTTCATAAAGGGTAAACCCCGTCCGCAGTGCTCCAAGTTTGTATACCTTGCAATTTAGTCACTGAAAGTAATTTTTGCCTATTATAATTTAGTCTTCGAAGTTTATTTTATTTTATTTCAGTCATGTCCAGTATAATTATATATTTAGGATGAATACTGAATTTAGTCCCTTATAGTTTAGTAATTATTATTTTAATCACAAATAGCATGTTTTAATTTGTTTTAATTTAATATTTGAATTCAATATATGTTTATTTTAGTCACTACATTAATAAATAGGTAATATAGTATGTTTAGCCACTATATTTTTAAATAATTAATTATGAATTAGGTATTTAATTCTATTAGGTTATAATTTAGTTACTAATTTTAATTTTTATTTATTTTTACGAGTTTTATTTATTTTAAATATATAGTTTTAATTTTGTTCATTATATGTTAATTTTATATGTTTACTTTTATTTATTATTACTATTATTATTATTATTTAGCCATAAATATATATATTTATAATATTTATTTTATTTATTAAAATCTTATTTAATTCCTTTTAGTTTATTTTAATCCTGTTTTAATATTTATTTATTTTTCAATATTAAGAAAGGGCAGTCTTAAAACAACTGGATGTCCATTTTCTGATATTTTTAAATAAATAAATATCCTATTTTATAAATTATATATTAATTGTTTTAATTATTTATTTATTTTTTAATATCGAAGAAAATAGCTATCTTAAGGCACCTAGAAGTCATTTTCTGATATTTTTAAATAAATAAATATTTTATTTATAAATTTATATAAATTAATAAATTTACTTAAAATCATAATTATATTTTTGAAATAATAGGATTATAAATTAAATATATTTTTAATTTTTAATTTTCTAATAATAGAGATAATTTATAATTAAAAAGTACCAATTTTAGGCGTTGTAGGAGTGTTAATCCTTCCCTAAACGTAACCGAGCACGAATCCCTTTTTATTATTAAAAAGAACGAATTTTTGGTTAAAACGCAGACCAGTTTATCTTTTAATCGATGTTTTCTTAAAAACTCTTTTAAAGGATGATTTTTAGGTATTCGACCTACCTGACCCAAAAGGCCGATGGCGACTCCCAAATTATTTTAAAAATCATTTATTCACATCACTTTTTCCGCCAAATAAATATTTCGTGCCCGGACGAAAACCGGTTACGACAAATGTCAAATAAAATTTTAATTATTTAGTGGGACTAAATGATCAAAAGAGGATAATTAGTTGAAAGATAAGGGTTTGGTATCTTGTTAATATTTTAATTAAATAATACGATTTATTAAGAAGAAAGACAAAATTCAAATAAAATCGACTCTTCTAAGATTTAAGATATAAAAATAGATTAAGTCACAACAAAAAGAACAAAAAGTAAGATAAAGAAAATCCTATTTCATCAGAGGAAAAAAATGACATCTTCTACCGGATGAACTATTTTTTTGTTGTTGTAATAAGTCATGAAAATGGTCGAGAGAGTTCCAAAGGAAGAAGACTTCCACGTACTGTTGTACAGGTTCCGAGTTATCAGCAAGCTTCTAAAAAAGACAAAAAAAAAATGACATCGAGAGAATAAAGACGTCAAATTGGGACTAACATATCGAGTAATTTTCAACTTAAAGAGAAGGTCAAAGTCGTAACGACGAGTCATATTGATATGAGAAAATCTATGTAGATAAGAAATAAAATTAGGTTTGATAGAAAGAGTGACAATAACATCCGCGATGAGAAGGGAAAAAGGAATGTTACAATCAGAGATTTAAATTATAATTATTATTGTATTTTTAATTATATTATATTTATTATAATAATATAATAAAAACTATTACAGTGATTATTATATTATAATCATACAATAATAATTTTGAATGATATCATTCTTAATATATAACAACTATTATTCTGATATTAAACTATTATTTAAATCTGTAACTACGGTAAAAACTAACATCTGTAGATGACACCGCGAGAGACAAACCTGTTAAAAGGGGGTCAAAGATTCAATTTAGAAAGCGTGACCTCTCCAGTTTAACCCCCACCCATCCAATTTTTCTACTAGTGATATGTATTTGCTAATCTAATAACTTACGGGTGTAAACAAGTAGAGCTCGAATTTGCTAAGCTCTTGCTTAATATGAAAACTTAAAGTGAAGTTCGACTTGATTTGAAAATTTGTGAGTCTAAAATTTTTAAACTCGACTTGAACTCAAAATCATAAATTGAAACTCGAAAAAACTCGAAAATAAGTTCTTAAACTTAACTTGGTTGAAGCTCAAACTTGAACCTGAACTTTAAGTACATGAAAACCTTATACTATATTTTTTTTAATAAAAAAATCAACTCATAAATTTTAATATTATTAATAATTTAATTTAAAAAACTATTTTTAATATATTTTCTTTTTGAGTTGCTCGTGAGTTTTTAGAGTTGAATATTGAGTAGTTCGTTTTAGCTCGTTAAGAACTCGAGTCGAGCTCGAGTAGAGTATACCCGAGTTAAGTATTTATTGAACTTTGACAATATCAATATCGAGTAACTCGCGATATATTTCATTTTATTTATGATCATTCTCCAAGTGCAAAAGCACCCGCCAATAATTTGTATGAAATTCAATTTATCTTTATCAAAAATAGGGTTTAGGGTTTATGATTTAGGGTTTAGGGTTTAGGGTTTACAAAAACAATCAAGAAGAAAATAAGGCAAGATAACCAAATCCATGTTATAACAGTCCCAAGTTTTCAACTTTGTTATTAAAAAAAGATAAATAATTTGAAGTATTTTCCTTTATTTTCTTGTTATTTTTTTTTACCCTCACAAACCATTTGAAAACAAGAAAGAGGGAGGTCCTCCTTGATGAACTAAACTTTGATTCTTCATATTCAGACAGACAAAATCCCATCATTTTTTCCTTTTTATTATCACTCAAAAGACTAATAAGTTGATTTCAGACATCAAATTTCCCTTTCTCTTTGCTCCTTGTTTAAAAGCGCTAAAAAATTATCATTTAAATATATTCTTATTTGTATGAACTAATGCTTGATCTCGAACAGCTGTTATATAGCTGCATGATTCAGCCATGGGAAGGGTAGCTTCAATCTGGGTTTTTGGTTTTGATTTTCAATATGGCTACTTTGTCAGATTCCAGAACCAAGGAAGCACGGGGACGGCAAACTTGTGTCGTTTGAAGTACCTGATACGTCCCTATTAGAATATTAGAATGTTAATAAATATTAGTTAGTATTTGTTATTAGTTTGTTATGATTTGTTGCTTATTTGGGCTATATAAGCCATACCTTTGTATGAGGTTTAAGTAGAGTGTGATTCAATATTCATAGAAAATTTCTGTCATCTCTCACTTTACATTTTCTCCTTCCACATTTGTTGGTTCCATGGCTGCTTTCTCACAGTCCCGGTACGGGGACGACACGGGGACGGCTGGGGTACGTACCGGGGACGTTTCACGGTGGCAGGGTACGGCTGAACGACACCGGGAACGTTTCACAGAATCTTGGGGACGTTTCGGGGACGGCATGTGACTTTCACATGCGTCCCCGGGATATTTCCGTCATTTTACAATAATAAAAAAAGAAAAGCATAACCTAATTGAAGGCTGGAGCTTTCGGCAACAATACAACTTCTCTATTGGAGCTTTCGGCAACAATTGCTTCTGCTTCTTGAGCCTTTCGACAGCAATCGCCAGCAACTGCTTCTAGCTGTATCTTTTTTGTGCCAATATCTGCAGTCTCCAATGACAAGTGGTTCTCCATTTCTCGTGTGATCAATCGCCTAGGTAGGGTGAAATTAAACAAGCTTCAAAATTGCTGATATTTAACTAAAAAACAAGTAATATGGAAGTTTAGCTTACGGGAAAGCCGTTATGTTTATTGCTTTGCAAAATGGAAACCAAATCTGAAACCTTTACAACGCGAGGAAGTGAAAGAACCTGTGAAGGCATAAATATAAGATGTTTAGGACTTGGGAGTCAAACCATAGGAGTCGGGTCTAAGTTGTACTGTTTTAAGAACATAATTGTGCACATATTTCTGAAATTTATTGATTATGTTGGCTGACTTGCTATTGCAGACTTCAGGCTTCACTTGGGAATTCATAATTTTTTTTTTAATATTTTAGTTTCAAGGAGATTTAGAATTTAGTAATATTCTGTTTCGTTTTCACTTTAACAGCATGCGTGTTCTGAAGGTATAAAACTACGGATAGAATTTATAAATATTCACAACTCACGAGCTTGAAAAAGAGTTGCTCACCACACTATTACGTCTTAAACAACTGAACCATGGAGCATATATATAATTATAAATACGTGTGTATGTATTGGAACTATTAAATTTTTTTTTTTTTTGTAACTTTTGATGCAATGTCTTGTATAACTTCAAGGTTACATGACGAGTCAATACACATTAATTGCTTTCTATATTGGTTTTCATTTTTCTAGTACATACGGCTGAACATAGCTTTTGATCATGGAAGCACATGGTTATCATTTTATAATGTACTTAGAACGTATTATATAAAATATTATTATTCGCCTTTTACATGAGTTATTCTAAATATTATTATTTAATACATAAATTATATAAAATAAATTTTACATGAGTTATTCTAAAATATATATTTATAATTTTAAAATTATTTTATATGTCGTATCCTTGCCGTTCCCGTACCCTGTAATTTTAAAAATTACCGTTTCTCATCCCCATCCCGTATCCGTCCCCGTATCCGTATCCGTGCAACATAGTCCAGAACCATAGAATATCTTTAAATTTTGGTGTTTTTGTTTTACTGGTTTAGTCATGCTTCAACTCCAACTCTTTAAGGTCAGATCATCACATTTTTTCACTGTTTCTAGTTATTACCCTTTTTCTCTGCTGGTAAAGATATTGTTCTTTCAATCCTGATTATCTAGGAAAGACTTGGGTTTGGGTTAATTTTAGCTTGGAAGTTGCTAATTTTTATGATGTTAAGTTACCAGAATGCTGATAGGGTGGTGAAGGGGTTAATTGAGTTTTGGTTTGAGTTCTTTCGTTTTGCATTTGCTTATGCTGCAAAGCCATACAAACCTCCTTGTCAAAGGTGCAGTCTTTAGATGGTTCCTAAGATAGAAAGGAGAAATGGGTAATGGGACTTCTCGCGTTGCTGGTTGCTTTAATGGAAAAAGTGAGGTTGATTTAGATCTAGAGCCCTTGGAAGAAGGTTTAGGCCATTTACTCCATCAAAACCTGAGACGTTTACAGTTGATTCGAGTACTCTTGATTCCGAGACTTTACACATTTTTTCACTGTTTCTAGTTATTACCCTTTTGCTCTGCTGGTAAAGATATTGTTCTTTCAATCCTGATTATCTAGGAAAGACTTGGGTTTGGGTTAATTTTAGCTTGGAAGTTGCTAATTTTTATGATGTTAAGTTACCAGAATGCTGATAGGGTGGTGAAGGGGTTAATTGAGTTTTGGTTTGAGTCCTTTCGTTTTGCATTTGCTTATGCTGCAAAGCCATACAAACCTCCTTGTCAAAGGTGCAGTCTTTAGATGGTTCCTAAGATAGAAAGGAGAAATGGGTAATGGGACTTCTCGCGTTGCTGGTTGCTTTAATGGAAAAAGCGAGGTTGATTTAGATCTAGAGCCCTTGGATGAAGGTTTAGGCCATTTACTCCATCAAAATCTGAGACGTTTACAGTTGATTCGAGTACTCTTGATTCCGAGACTTTAAGTGGGTCATTTAGGAATGATACCATTGAGGAACCTTCGGGACTACAAAGAATGAATAAGAGTTTTCCAGAAACCACATTCAGGGCCATCTCTGGTGCATCTGTCAGTGCAAATGTTTATACGACTAGAACTGGTAATCAAAGTGTGATGTTTGCTTGAGAAGGGTGTGATGTATGGACCCCTCGATGCTAGTGATAAATCCAATTTCTCTGCTCCACTTGCCCGCGATCGTAGAAGACCTCGTTTCCTGCATTTGATGAGAAGTGTTACTGGGCCAGTGAAACGAACCTTTTCGAAGCATTCAATGAGGTCTGGTTGGATGCAAAGGTTTTTCTTGCACCCAGTGACCCAAATGGCATGGCTTGCCAAGGAGCCAAAGCTTCAATCAGTACCCTCTAGGAACTGTTTTGAATGGGGCCATCTGAAGGGGAGTATGGGAGCAGTCGCAACTTGCAATGGGCTCATGGAAAGGCCG